TTCGGTACGTGGGCTTCTCGCTGTTGTGGCCTCTGGAGCACAGGCTCCGGACGCGCAGGCTCAGCGGCCATGGCTCACGGGCCCAGCCGCTCTGCGGCATGTGGGATCTTCCCGGACCGGGGCACGAACCCGCGTCCCCTAGCATCGGCAGGCGGACTCTCAACCACTGCGCCACCAGGGAAGCCCTACCAATATATTTTTAAATCTCCAGAAAATGCCTGGTTTTTATGTCTAAATCATGGGTTGCTAACTGGGTTCTATAAGTAGACTTCAGGGGGCCATAAAAACCCCTGAATTGCTAAGAAATATCATATATACGTTAAAATTGGGTGGGAAAATACCTTTACAATATTGCAAGGGCACAGCATATACAATCTGTTAAAATGCAAAGAAAAATTCTAATTTGATTCCATTAATTCTCCACAATCTCCCCTTCTGAATTTCCTTGATTTGCCTGTTCAGTACGGCAAAAAATTGTAATAAGGAAAATGAGACCATTATGTGGGAGTTTCCACATCAAAGCAAGCATAGAGGGGTCTAAAAAAAAAAAAAATGTGTTCGATGAACGAAATCAGAAAAGCCTCTTTTTATCACTAAATCGAATCCTTTTCCCAGGCTTGCACACTGGAATGTGAGGGGAAGCTGCCTTCTCTCAAGACCTGGGAAACCTGCAAGGAGCTTCTGCAGCTGTCCAAGCTGGAGCTCCCTCCAGACGGCAACAGTGCCCTCGGCAAACAGGAGGACCACCGCTTGCTGGCCAAGAAGTACGGGGGCTTCATGAAGAGGAAGATGGATGAGCTGTATCCCCTGGAGCCGGAGGAAGAGGCAAATGGCGGTGAAATCCTTGGCAAGAGATACGGGGGCTTCATGAAGAAGGAAGTGGAGGAAGACGACGCCATGGGCAATCCCTCCGACCTGCTGAAAGAGCTGCTGGGAGAGGGGAACCAGCGAGAAGGGGCTCCCCACCAGGAGGGCAGGGATGACGCAGACGTGAGCAAGAGATACGGGGGCTTCATGCGAGGCTTAAAGAGAAGCCCCCAGCTGGAAGACGAAGCCAAAGAGGTGCAGAAGCGGTACGGTGGCTTCATGAGAAGAGTGGGTCGCCCGGAGTGGTGGACGGACTACCAGAAAAGGTACGGCGGCTTCCTCAAGCGCTTTGCAGATTCCCTGCCCTCCGACAAAGAAGGTGAAAGTTACTCAAAGGAAGTTCCCGAAATGGAGAAAAGATATGGAGGATTTATGAGATTTTAGTCCCCTTTCCCATCAGTGAGCCCAGGCCCCAGCAAGCCTTCCTCCACCCCCCAGCGAGAGAGTGCTTCGCAGGTCGTGTTGTATTGCCCTGTGCTGCTTGCATTATATAGCTGACTTGATTGTCTGCATAACTTAACTGTACAACCTAAAAGCTGTCATTCCAGGTCCTGTGTTCTTTTGAGAATCCTTAAGCCTTTAAGTATTTGTCTCTTGCAGCTGTCTTGTTTACATGCTCAAATAGCTTTTGGTATTACCTTGTCCTTTATTTTTGACAAAACGCCAGTAAATGCATACTCGTATGTAGATATAATAAACCCATCACCCCAAATGCACAACATTCTTGCAAGTTTCTTCCCCTCCGAAGCTCTCATTCGCCCTTAGGTTTCCACCGCATATCCTAAACTCACAGACAGTGAAACCATCTGCTTTCAGCAGAAGCGTCACTGGCCCCCTCCTCTTCCAACTGCTGAGGCTGCAAAAACATTTTTCATTTAATTCCTTGTATGTGACATCTTAGATGAGCAAACACACAGTAGCAAAACAAAATGTATTTCCACTCTCGTTTCTGGAATTCAGGTACGTGAGGAAAACCCAAAGCCTAATAAAGATACAAACTGTACCCTCATATATAAGGAACTCTGCATTTACATCCAAATGTGTATGTCTCTTTTCTTCAGCAAAATATTTTAGACGTTAATTAAAAAAAAATTAAAGATAATTTAGCCCCATTTTACAAATACAGAAAGTGGAGCCCAGAAAGGTCAATTCATTGGCCCAAGATTGCCCAGCAGTTGAAGGATAGAAATGGAATTAAGACCCGAAATTTCTTGCTCCCAAGCAATGTCCTTTCCACTCCAGTTCCCTGTCTCTCATCCAGGCCACTACCAAGAATTGGAAGGACTTGGGTCTTTATCTCCACTGTTGTCCTCCACCCCCTACAGCACAACCCCGGTGGGTCCTCCAGAATCTGATGAATGGACAGATGCATGAATGGAGGGATTTGGCGACCAGATCCCCGGGCACGGTATTATGAATGTTCTGGAAGGCAAATTCTCATCACACAAGCAGTTTATGACTACTTCACATTAACTTAAACATTTGGGACAATAGTCAGGTACAAAAAATGCAACACGTCTTTGTTTTTCTAATTGAAACCACCTGCAGCTAAATTCCCATCCACTGAGTCATTTTCCCAGGACCCTCACTCATCCTTTCCTTTGCGTTCTTCCCCCAATTCAGAGTTTAGCAACTGAGGGAGACAGAGGAAGAGCCTCTGCTCTGCAACCCAGGTCTGTGCAAGACCATGTGCTGCATCCCGATGGGGCCGCCCACCGCCCCTCTGAGTCCAGCCCTGCTGGGTTCCCGGGACCTCCCCACGGCCATGTGCTGTCCCCCCCCCCC